TCTATTCTTAGATGACAGTTTAGAATCCAATAAGACCAAATGGATATAATCCAATGATCATTCAACTACCATCCAGTAAATAGTTGTATATAATTTTTAATATTTTACGATATTGTTTTTTAATTGATATTTATATGTAGTATTATTTTTTTTGATAAATTAAAAAAATATATGAATAATTGATTGAAATAGTGGATTAAGTGGTTGAAAACTGTATCAACATATTGAATGAATTCAGTTTTGTTAATAGGTAACCGATAGTAATATCCAATAGATGGAATATATCTGATTCATGAATTGGATCAGATGTCCAATGTTCATGGTACTGAATGACAAAATCCAGAAAAAATTGTTCGTGGGAGAGAACACATCTTTATTTTTTACATTACAGGAATTGATAAGAACTACTGAGCTTTACACTCAGATTAGCAGATTTATTTGTGACCGTTGAGGAGTCATACGGAGGGATGGAGATGGGGCGAATAATACATATTCATCCCCCGTTTAATCCCCCCCCCCAAATTCCCCACCCTGCCTCAACTAATCCTCGACGGGTTCAGGGAATCCGTTTGGTACTTGCTTCGGGTATGAAATTAAAGCATTGCCCCGTTACCCGTCAAAGCGGGGAACTCCCGCCCCGCTAGGGTCAGATACTCCGACAGGTAAAATTTCCATCTCTATTTGTATGAGATGAAAAATGGGTGGTTGGATTGGATTAGATCCACCTGATAAATCTATTGGATTTCAACCGATGAACACCACTAAGTGAAGTAGCTATTTCGTTGAAAATCCCTCACTTATACTTATTTTGTTGTTGAACATTTACATACTAAAATGGATTCTATATTTTTTTTTCATTTTTTAATTATAAAGGTTGATCAGTCATTTTAACTATGGAGGGAGTTAATTATGACTTTAAGGGGCCGTTTACCAAATATTTACCCGGGTAAGCACTTACTATAAGTCATATTACCTTAATGGAAAAATATGGCAAGTACTAAGAATCTTATTCGGTAAGAACGAGATAAAGACCGAGAGTCTTACCTGGTAAGTGAGGACGACGACTATTACCACACATACAATGCCTTTTTTATTGACTAAAATCTTACCGAGTAAGTAAATAAAATGTTAAATTTTACCAGTAATTACTGTGTATCTTTTAATAATGGAAACCACCAAATTCTAATTTCACAATATAAGATGGATAGATGTCAAACCATCCAATGCAAAACTAGATTCCACCACCGCCACTACTATAAACATGTGCACAAATTATAGCAGATTATAGAGGTTGACAAATATGGAAGGCCAGTTTGTCGTCGAAAGTGGACCATCGAATGTATGGTGCTACAAAAGCACTTTTGCTACTCGATTCGTCTCTACTCGTTAACATCCCTATTTACAACCAAAACAAACAAAACAGCATATTCGGGATCGTTCCAATTTTTTTGGAGGTTTTGTTACATCAAAAGTTTGGGATCATGTGGGACAATGTTGTTTTCGTGAGACATGTGAGACAAGTTTTTTACACTTGAAACTTCACGGCAAAACGTTTCACAGTGTTTTTGTTGTAAATGTTCGGCTTTTTTTTACCTTCACAGCGTTTTGCTGTGAAGTTTCAAGTGTAAAAAACTTGTCTTACGTGTCTCACGAAAACATTTTTGTCTCACGTGAAGCCAACCTTATATATATATATATATATATATATATATATATATATATATATATATATATA